GATTTATTAAATGGCAATCTTGCCATCATTCTTTGTAGAAGATAGGTGCCATTTTGTGGCATGAATAAAGGAGTATGTATGTGCCCTCTGATTATGTCTTATTGTAGCACATAAACAGGTGAAAAATGAGGTTCTGATAGTTTTGACAAGTGTTCCAGATTTTGAACAAAGCATGAAAGCATTGGCTGAATTGAAAGAGATTTTTTTTGTAATATTATCTTAGATTAATTTAAAAGCTTTAACAATAGTTTAATGTTTTATAGAAGAAGGGCAATAATGTCTAAATTAGCTCTGATTAAAGAGAAATTCCAGCCAACAAATTAGATTAAACTGTCAACTGCTAAGGCTACCTAGTAAACACTGCAACTATGCTAAAGTCGGGAGGTTTACTCAGTCTACTACATTTCGAGTTCTGTCTCATCCACTATAACCAGATTCCAAAGATCTCTGCACATGTGGGGTGGGTAGGTGTTCTTCCAAAAGTCTGTGCTGTGCAACATTTGTTCTCTTTGCTTAAAGTATTCTTCAGTGGCTGAGAGAACCTTATTAATGCACTTTGATACAAAGCGTATCATTCCCATTCCCTGAAATAAAGAGAATGGGTGGTCTGGTTCACTACAGCTGTGCCAAGAACTCGTTTGTAACTTAAAGCTGTACTTTAAAGCAGTCATTTTTTTAACCCTTGCAGTGAGTGGGGCCACCCTCTGCACTGCAAGGGTTAAGTGCTCATTCTTGTCTAGGTTGAAAAATAACAAAGTTATACTCACCTGATCCGCAGAGCCAGCTTGCTCTTTGACTGGTCCCATCTGCTTCTCTCCTCCTCCGCTGCTCAGTGGTATATCCCTGGGCATCCTCATATCCTATACACGGTGTATAGAACAGGATGACTCACAGGACCTTAGACCCCTGCAGCAATGATATGTTCCTCAGCCTCCTCATGTTATATACACAGTGTAGAGAACATGATGACTCACAAGATCTTAGACTGCTGCAGGGGAGGGGGAGCGAGGCGGAAGGGACTAAGTCTAAGAGCAAGCCGGCCCCAAGGATCGGGTGGGTATAACTTTGTAATTTTTTAACCCAGACAAAAGTGAACACTTAACCCTTGCAGTGCGGAGGTAGCCCCACTTCAAAGGTTAAGGACAGTATGCCCAAAAGTTCTGCTTAAATCCTCGGTGGCAATTTTTCTGTTAAATGGACATTCCACTGAGGGTTTTTTTTCCCCAAAGATCCCAAGTCTATGTAAGGGATCTTACATGCTCCATATGTGAGAAAGAGACGTTCAAAGGCTAGAAACATAGTGTTGTCTCATAAAATGCTGCGCAAACTGTTGGCGCTATATAGATCCTGTATAATAATAATAATAATAATAATTTTCATACTGCCTGTTTTGTACGTGGAATAACAACGCTATTTATATGCTGACACGAGACCTTCTTGTGGTCACCTTTTTGGATTCTTGTATGTTTTGGAGCATGTGAGGGGCCTAATGGGTGACGTCTGCACAAGGCAACTGAGTGGAGGTGTGTGCCTCTCCTTGTGAATAATTAGGGCATAGTCTTTTAACTTCCTTACATTCTGCTTTGTGTTACTCTAATCTCTACTACACATACTCTTTCATGACAGGAGATGCTTACTGCAGGTTTCAGGCATCTTTGTTTACATTACTAATGCACACCCCATATAAGTAGATAGTGAACCTCAGCTCCTGCACACCCACTTATTAAAAATGTGTAAGATGTGGCTAATTCCACAGCTACCTGTGGTTCGCTCATGTTACCTAGACCTATGCTCTCAAGTGAGAGGCCTTGAAATAGAACAAACAGGCCAGGACACTGACAGACAGTAGCGTATTAATGGCACTGCAGGCTAAAGAGAACAAGTAATAGCCAGAGTACTGGCAATGTGAAATATCTGAAATGCTTAACATTATGTTACGCAGTCTTTATAAATAAGCAGCTTGCTAACCTATGCTAGTAATGTAGGATTGAGAACCAGTACTGAATCTTAAAGTAACCCTTTCCCTTGCCAATGTTTATAGAATGCTTACTGCCAAATATGAACTTTTCATCTTATATACAACTCACCAGAGTATATTCAGTACACAAAATCTCTACAGTTCCTATGGGTTATTCTGTAAAATTGTATGCCATGTCTTGTCAGTTCTAATGTAATTGCAAGCCTCATGTATTACAATTCAGGCAGAAAAATGTGTTCTTTTTCCATATTCAATTCATGCTTAATCACCAAGCTAATTAAAACTACAGAACCTTGTTTAATCTAATCTAAACTCTTGTGTTATTAGTTTAAACATGTGTCTTATTGATTGGCAGATACAAGCTAGTATATGGAATAAAGTACTTTACACATAATACAACTACATAATTGTAGTTATATCTGTATAACACCCCGCACTGAACGTCAAGATTGTTTTATGCATAAATTGAAATCAGATTTGCCGAACAAAAAAACCTCCCTATCCATCCTGAAATCATGATGAGTGACTATATTGATGAGTTCATCCCTGTATATAAACACACAACACTGTAATAATCAGTAGAGGCCTGATAGACTTAACACCACTAGCTGACTGTCTGTCAGTGAGTGTAAGTGTCCCTGTGTAGACAATTAAAAGAAGTTAATATAAAGACTAGGGATGCACCGATATATCGGCCGCCGAAACATATCGGCAGAAAATGGCACTTTTGGCATTTTCCGAAAGTGCCATTTTCCTGCCGATAGATCGGCACATCCCAGGTTTCTCTCCTCCCCGCTGGGCGCTGCTCTGCGTCCCAGCGGGAAGGAGAGAAAGTGACAGCCGGCCGAGCGCTGCGGGAGGAGAGCGCTGTGAGCGGCCGGTGTCTCTCCTTCCACACCGCTGGACAGTGCGGCAGAGCGGTGTGTGGGCGGAGACAGCGCTGTCACAGGAGGCTGGGCTCTCCTCTCGCACCACTCGCTCAGCCTCCTGTGACATTGTGTGTCAGAGAGGAGAGCAGGCTACAAACACTCAGCAATCAGTGATCCCTGAGTGTTTGTAGATAATTGAGGATATTGTATGTGGACTATATCCTCAATTATGAATGAATGGGAGTGATCTACATCACCACCATTCATTCATAATTGTAGTTATGGAAAACATACTATATTCTCAAGTTATCAATGAACAGGAGCACTCATAGAGGATTCTTGTTCATTAATAACAGGGGACACAGAATCTCTTTTTCTATTTGAAAAGGAAAATATCAGGGGTCTGTTTGGACCCCTAATTTTTCCCAAAGCCCCTAAAAGTAAAGTAAAAAAAAAATATTTAATGAAAAATGAATAAATAAATAAAAATAAATATAAAAATGTAAAAGTTTATTTAACATTTTTTTTAAAAATGTGAAAAATTTTAAATAAAAACATTTTCGGTATTGGTTTCGGCCTGAACATTTTTTTTTATTTCGGTTTCATTTCAGTTTTTACATTTCTATTTCGGTGTAGTTTCACCTCTAATAAAGACACACTCAAGTATTCATATTAGCTATATTTAGAATATATTTTAATTCCCAAATAACACATGGAAACCCTGTTAACTACCTAAACCCATTTTTCATGTTCCCTGGGCACAAAAACCTTCAGCATTATTTAGGCAATTAAAGTAGTTTAGGGGAATAATTTGACATCCAAGAAAGAACAAAAAAGGAGCAAGACAAATCTAAAAACGTATTGTGTCAAAAAAAAATATTAGAGCAAGAAGAATCATCTCTATATGGTTCTTTTCAGCTAGAAATGAACACATGCTGGTTCAGAGTGTTGGTCAAAATATCTACCTAGGTAAACCTTGATAAAGAAAAATACTGTATGTCCTACTTAACCATTGGACACTTCAGGTCCCCACCTATGAATGAGCTAATCCATAATACATAGACTAAAATGAGTGCCTATTATGTCTTTCCTATTTGCTGCTGGACAAGAATGGCATTATTTGTAAAGCAATTTACTCAATTTCCTAGAATCTACAAAAACATACAAAAGAACCCAAATAACACATTTATTTTCTGGTAAATTCTATTTCCCTGTTTTCATAGAGCCGCAAATTTCCTTTTACATTGTAGCTGCAAATGGATACTCCCATTCCATGCAATCTTTGTTGAGTGTGACACCTGTCATAGTAAGTTAGGTGCGTTGATTTATTAAAGGCAAATAGACTGTTCACTTTGAAAGGGAATTTTCCCTTAGCTTAGTGAATGTGGTGAAAATTCTCTTTGGAAAAATACCTGATCATGTGCAAAAATAAATACAATTATTTTTGCTTGCCTATCATAATTTTTGCTTGGAAGTCAGTGGAGCTTCACCTCATTCATTAGGCAGATAGCTTTATTGCTGTTTGTTTCCCTTACTTCCTGTCTGCTAATAGGTTTACTCCTAAACATAAAGTAAGTTAAATCTCTCTAACGGAGCCTAAATAGCAGTAACACTTGACAGGGTTTCTAAACTTTTAACATTCTATCCAAAAGTAAAAAAATCTTTCATTGAAAACTATGGTATACATTTGTGCAATGCTAGTGGATTAATTTAGTAGCATTTTCAAAGATGTAAATCACATTATTTTTACATTATGATTAACTTCCATTGTAAGAGTTTTTCTCAAATGCAACTAAGTGCTAAGAAAGTATATTTTGTTCTCCAAAATATACTTCCGTTGGAACAAGATTACATGATTTATGTCTGTGATGATGCCCAGTAATATGGACACTGAAGCATTACTACAGGCTGACTTAATTCTTTTATACATATTTGGACAGCTCGCTGTGTGAAATGTGACAAAACCTATTTACCTACACCAACCTCAGGGAGAACACACGCAAAGCTTTGGATGGCTTATTCATTGTAGTGCTCAGTAATCACTGTAAAAAAAATGAATATATATATATATATACATATACACATACATACAGTATATGCCATAATAAGAAAAATACAAACTTAAAGGGCTATTTTCTTTTTTTTTTTTGCAGGGAGGAGATCAGAACAGCAAATGTGGTTGCTGCGGAGGCTGTGACTTGTCTTGTAATCGACAGAGAGTAAGTATTTTTTCACTTTACTATGTAAACAGACAGCTAATTATTTTGGAATGGCAGCTGAGTGACAATGCTGTTTCTCACCATGGTAGTTAAAGAAACGAGGTGACATTAAAGAGGTAACACAATTTAATTGGTTTAGAAAGAGGGCAGTAAAATGAGTATAGTGTGTAAATATGTTGTACAGAGACAATGAAGGCATGCTGGGACTTGTTGTCATGGAACTGTATGCCTTTGTTCTTCCTTTCTAAAATCCTACATAGTGCACTTTTGGAGCTCTTTGTTCTCTAGCTACCTTTTGACTCTGGCTTGGCTAGCATTCACTACATCAGAACAGAGAACTGGAGGATAAAAGTAGATCTAAACTCAATTACTAAGGTCAGGCATAGGTTTTAATATGTTTATGTAATTTAAAATGTTGTTTTGAATCTTTTTAAATCTGCAACTTTCATTAAAAGAATACCTGTTCATCCTACCTCGAAAGTCCTTGTTCAGACACTCCCTGTTTTAAAGTGCCAACTGTCTCCCAGTTTTGCTGCACTCTATCACATTTTCCTCTGCTGGTGACTATATGTCACTTTTAGAAAGCTGGTCTAGATTTGCGACCAATGTTGGTGTGAGTTCATGTAGACAAGACAGTGCCTGAAAGTAGATGAAGGAGAATAGTAACACTAAGGGTGAACATCTACTTTAAGAGACATGGATGTGGGAGGTTGTAGGACTTCAGAACCGAAAATCATTCAAAAATGGGCACAGTCTTGAGTTCTTTACATCTTTCAGACTCACTTCAACCCTGAATTCAAACCCTTGAATAAAATCACCAATGTGTTAGTATTGATGCTTTTAGTACTTAGAAGTATGTTTTTACTACAATGGTGCTGCCACGTAATGACACATACTGTAAATTACCCCCATCTACAGCATGTCTGTGCATAACTGAAAATGCATTAAACTGTCATAACACAGATAAAATGTTCCTTGAGCTCTTTACTAACACTATTGCACAGTATAAATAAAAATGTAAAAACCTATTTATGTATATGCAATAAACCAGTAGCATAACCAGAGTTATAGGCGCCCAGGGCACCACCGCCCCATCATATAAACCCCCCATTATATAAACGTCCACTCTGGTTATAAGGATAATTCAACACATGTAAAGAGCATTTCATTTTTAATGTTGATAAAGAGCATTACATTTTTATGAATACCCCGGGTATACAGGGACATACAGGGATATATGAGTGGGGGGGGAGGCTGGGGGTGTACAGGGACAATGAGGAGATACTGGGTCTAGTAGTTCCCTGGGAGATATGGGGGGGGTACAGGGACAATGAGGGCATGCTGGGACTTGTAGTTTCCTGGGTGATATCTGGGGGTGCATAGGAACAATAAGGGCATGCTGGGACTTGTATCTCCCTGGATGATAAGTTGGGAGTGTACAGGAACAATGAGGGCATGCTGGGACTTGTTGTCATGGAACTGTACCCCCCCACACACACACACACATATATCAGCTAGGGAAGTCCCAGCATGCCCTCATTGTCCCTGTACAAACATCCCCCTACCCCCCCACACACCCAGGGAACGGCAATATCTGTTTGTTGTACAGGGGCAAAAAGGGCATGCTGGGACTTGTAGTTCCCTAGCTGATATATGTGTGTGTGTGTGTGTGGGGGGGGGTCCCTGTCATGTAGTTCGCTGTATGATATGTATTAATTACTGTCCACCTGAAAGTACTACAATGCCATTATAGAACTAAGAATAGCACATTTAAGTTTATCTATGTTTTATTCTATGTTCTATAAAGGCATTGTATTTCTAGTCCTTTCAATACAGCTTCATGTCAGTTACAGGGAACTACAAGTCCCAGTTGAACTGGCTGGTTGTAGTTCACAATCAATACAATGCCATTATAGCATGTAGATGAACTTAAAACTTTTAAGTTCCACTAATGGCAGGTAGTCATCATCTCAACTGTCTAACACTGGCTGGTCTCAGTTCAGACAGTCGGAGGAAGCTTAGTGGGAGGCTGAGGCTCTGAAGACAAGAAATTCATTGATTAGAACTAACATGGTCCCAGTCAGAGGCGCCTCAGGTCTCTCTCCGTCTCTGATAATATACGTCGGCAGGTCGCTGGGTCGGGTCCTCACAGCCGAGGCCCCCAGAGTGGACTTTTTTTTTGCCTGGCTGTAAATCTTTTTTTAACCGAGCGAAGCCTGCTTGTCATTGTCCAGTGCCCAGCACCCAGCGCCCCCCTCTCATGTCTCGCCTGGGGCAGCCGCACTGTCAGCTCCCCCCGGTTGTTACGCCACTGCAATAAACGTACTCATGTAAGAAAACTAGGGAATTCTATCAGATTGATTGATACCTGTGAAATAATAAACCTAATTGGATTCTGGTTATTGCTCCTGTTTTGCTAGTTTTCTTTGGTACAATTTTGTAATTTATCCCTGGTAGTGCCTTTATTTATATCCGTGCTTTACTGTAGTGTACATTATGTTTTCTACATTTATTGCTATGTTCATTAAGTTTTTTATGAAATGGCTGCTGTGTTCTGCAGCTGTGGTTTTTGATAGTAAAATTTTTAATTTTTACTGAAATTTGAAATCCCCATCACCCCATTTAAGGCTGGCAATAAAATGATTGTAAAAAATGATTACTTATTTATTAGAGTATGAAATACCTGTAAGAATATAGACTTGTTTATATCAATAATTAGACATTGCCTCTTATGTGCTTAAGTCTTTATTCTTGAAACAATCACATTTTCTCAAGTCTTTATATTGGCAGCTTTCATCTTAGCGGGAGACAAAAACAGTGCTTACTACAAATTATTCATCTTCGAAAACAAAATTATTTTTCAATTTGCAATTTGCATGTAATCATTTCCATTTTTCTCAACAATAGTCATTCAACATTAAATATTCTTTTACTTTGAAGTAATTTATTTTACCTTTTAATGTGAAGTAGGTTATTTTACATTTATTAAAATGTGTAAGTGCCTTAGTACATAAACTTTACTTACAGATTTAGAGTATATTGTGCCCTATATCAAAAAGATTATGCATGAGTTTGCATCTAAGGTAAAGTTCTGATATATTGTCATCTATCTATAGCAGGGGTGGGCAAAAGATCAACTGTGACCTCTCCATGGCTGCCTATCCCTGATCTATGGCAAAGAGAACACCACTCTTAGTATTGCTCACCTAACAACTAATTTAGTTGATAAGGCATAGTAATTTCCTTAAGTCCATATAGGCCAACGTAAAGCAGCATAACCAAGGGCTCATTGATGTGGGTGCAAAGGTCCACGTACCATAAAAAAAACTTCTGGATGTCTTCGCCAGGGAGCCACAAGTTTTGTCTACAAAACAGTGTTAATTTAGTCGACTAAAATGTTTTGTCATAGTTTTAGTCATCTGCATGTTTTCACATGAAGTGAAACTAAAAACTATGGTACCATAGGACTAAAACTATGACAAAAATACATTGCAATGTTCTCTACTGGAGATTTAGTTGACAAAAGTAAACAAAAACGAAAATAATTCAGATGACTAAAATGCACATATTAGGTTTAGCTGCATTTTAGTCATCTGAATTCTTTTAGTTTCGTTTTGTCAACTAAATCTCCAGTAGAGAAAATTGCAATGTATTTTCAACATAATTGTAGTCCTTTTAACTTAGTTTTTTGAAAACATGCAGATGACGAAAACTATGACAAAACATTTCTGTCGACTAAATCAACACTGGTACAAAATCAATGACAGGCTGTGGCTGTTCGCTGGTAAATGCTGCTTCCAATGTATATTTGCATACAAGTATGGCTGTACACTCCTGGATGCAGTCAGTCTGTGTCCAGAAGCATATATCGGTAATAAGCGTTCACCACCCTGTTGTTTCAAAATGTGCTGTGGTAGGAAAATGGTTAAAAAAACAAGCACTCTATGGGGCAAAAAAAAGGAATGTAGGTAAAAAGAGGGAAGGTATAATGTCCAGATCGAACTCTCAGACAGAGGATAGTAAAGGTTAAAAAGGTTAAAAAAAAGATCAAGCTAGGAGATTGATGCTGTGTCAGAAATGATTTCGGTGGGAATAAAAATGTCCAGCTAGGGGGTATTCTGCATTAGATCGAGGAAATGGAAACCGTAAGTTTTGGGAAATAAAGGAGTATTTTCAAAAAGTAAATAAAGAGGATTATCTACAAAAATGATTTGAATGCAATCATCTGTAGGCAACCCAAATGAATGTACAGAAATTGTGCCATCATATTGTTATTTGAAGCAATCAAGCGTTTAATTCTAATATTAAATTTAAAGTGTATGTAAATCCTAACAGTTAACTTCTCATTTTTACTACGTTTTGATCTGTTTATTGAGTGCAAAAAAACCTGTTGATCATGTCAGAAATTTGGAGCTGTCTTGTGTCCTATTCCCTACTTGTGTTCTCAAGGAGAGTGTAATAAGCCCTCCCAATTCTTTTCTTTGGCCGCAGAACAGTTAGCCTTTATGTTTTAGAAAAATGGATAGAGGTAGGTATTCAGTATTTTCCCGAAAGATAACTGGGAAGCAAAACAGATGACAAACGCACTCATCAATTCGTCACCAGCTTTACAGTAAGGTGCACACGGAATGGGCTTTAACCTCCCTGGCGGTATGACTATGTCAGGAATTTTGTACCAAAAGTGGTACATTGTTTTTCATGGAAATTTGTTGTTTTATATTGTAGGCCTGTAATTCTTAGTAAATCTTAGGAATAACTCACCTAAATCTGTCCAAACAAGAGTCCAGTAGACATCCCAGGTCTACTGATAAAGTTTGAAACACGAAATTAGAAAATTATAATATAATAGACTAAATCAACTAAAAGGTAACTGGGAAGGACTGACATAACTCAGTTTAGCAGGTATTTTTCTGTACTTTCATGGACTTTAAAGGGATAAGACATGAGAAAATGTGCATGTATTGCAGAGATGTGCTGCATATATTTTTATTATATTATGT